ATCTGGACAAGAAAGGGTGAAACAACACAGATGGATTAATCCCTTGAAATATCTAGAGATAAACTGATATTGTCAAAGGTGCACGGACAAGGCACAATACCCCGGAGTCTTAACAATGAGTCAAAACTCAACAAGCAGCGCTTGAATTTTAAACCGCTTTAATGTAATTTAATCTCTACATTGTTTAAGTTTTTAAGCCTTATTTCCGCAATTAAAGCTCCTCGCGACGCTTCTAAGAGATATTAAAGCTTTATTAAGTTTCTCTAACTTACCAGTCACTGTAGTTTCTCTTGTGAGATTTGATGTCGGCATAAATATTATTTATTAATAAGTGCCAATGTTGGTACAAAATGCTATAACAATTATTGTCAACCCACATTTAATTAAATTCTTGACAAATTCCAACGTCTAAAACTGGTGATAACGGTATTGTTTCAAATCATCACCTCGGCTTTGGAGTCATTTTGCAGGAAGTAAGTAGTCAAAGCGCATAATTTCTTATTTGATATGGGTAGCCACCACACCGGAAAGATGTCATTCTCTTTTAAATGAACATTCATTATTACTAGAGAAAAAGAGAAATACTTAGATATTTAAAAATGTATTGGAGTTAGACGAAGCAAAAATGTATCTACAATCATTATATTGACAGAGTATAATCATAATAATACAAAATCTTCTGTAGCCAAATTTGAAAATCTGCTGATTCGTTTAATTTCCGTACGAATCAAATTATTTTAGTAAAACAACATAAGCATGTTATTTGTTGGCTTTCGGCGCCCGATTCCGCTGTGCTAAAATAACCGTCTCCATTTTCATGTACATTTACAATTTCCATTATCAGCGAAATTAATCGACGTAATCGTTCGTTAAAATCGAGTTTAGACAAAACGTTGTTGACAATTCATCTGCGGTCGTTGAAAGCATTTCCATTTCGTGATGTGTTTATACTTAAAGAGCTATTCCGAGTATTTGTAGCAATTTCATACGTTCATGTTTTCAATTTAAGGTTGGCCAGGATGTTCTCTCTCTCGGCCTGATGCCTCGTAACGTTAATTAAATTTGCAATGCTAAAGTGATGTCGCACCACCAAACGCATTTATCAATCGACGATGCAATTTTGGCTCGCGGTCAACAATGTTAATCAAACGAGACACTTCGCATTTTTTTACTCCTGAATTAAAGGCGGCTTTCTGTCAGCAACTCATGCGTCACGGAGGTTGACGTGTTTAGTCTGACAGAAAGTTTTGCTAGACCAAAATATTAAACGCAAAATAATTTTCCAATTCCTGAAGAACTGGCTCTTCATTTATCAAACCAACACATTTCAAAGTGGTTAAATTGAAATAATTTCAAAGTGGTTAAATTGAAATAATAGGTACCTACAGATTATTTCCAGCACATGTCCAATTTACAATTTCCTCCAATAGCATATATTTAGGTATGTCATTTAATCATAAGCGTCTTTTGTGATAAAACTTCTGTTTCTGCTGTCAAAACGTGTCTTCCCGCTGTCATTGCAGTAATTAATCTTCTTGTCCTCATGTCAGATGAATTTTTTAATTTCTATTTACTAAGTGCTTTTGGAAATAATCTAATCAAATATAACTCGACCATCGTTTTTATTATCGAAGAAATTATAAATTTCAACTCAAACTTCTTGTCTGAGACAATTTTACTCGTCAAATTGTTATCACAATAAAGTTTTCGTGAAATTTAAAAATTTATTCGATAAAAACGATGATTTTTTTTTGAATGTAGAACGAAATTATTCTTAACTGATTTTGGTAATTGTATTATTAATTTTAGTGAAATAAGCGTTAAATGACAAAAGCTTTCAAAAAAATATCGTAACAAATTTAAAATATGTATGTATAAATAATACAGAGTTGTCCAGCAAAGACTAAGAAACGCAACTAATATCAAAGTATTAGTTTACCCCCCAAGGGTGGGGCAAGATGGGGTAAAAGTATTTTTGTTTCTTTTTATCGTTATTTAAAAAAATTAATAATTTTTGTTATTTTTTTTATTATAGTCTAATAGAGAGAACACTGATTAAGTTGATAAATAGAGTTTCGAACTTCTGTGATGTACAATTAGTTTTTTATTCGACTTCAAACGTTAAGGTCCCCGTCTTGCCCTACTATTATTTAAGTATGAATGAATATTTGAATTTTTGCTTCAATATGTTTAAATTTCTATTATGATGTCATGTCAAAAGCATATGCATTACCTACTCGATATACATCATGCCCATTATTATAAAAATGGCGTCAAAAATGACGCTTCTCTCTAAATACTAGAAAAGACGTCAAAAATTCAATTTCTCTAGTATAGGAGCATCACGGAGCTTCAACTGATAGAAAAATCGATTCAAACGTAATCTAAATGTCATACAACGTACATTTCCTTGTCGTATTTAGCAAAATCGTTATTATAAAGCCACCATCTCGCATAAAGTTCGCCGCCAATAATATGACAGGCGATGGATTGGCTCCCCTATCGTTCGTTGATCGAAGGGGTTGAGTAAAATGTCTTGGTGATATTTGCTTGTTGTGACATATTTAAATCTACTTTCACGGATCACCGGTCCGTGCAAACAAGACTCGACAGTGACGTTTTAACACGTCGTCCCTGGAATCCTAATTCAATCGAGAAATGTGTGATGATTGCTTTATTTCGGCCTGTTGCTATCGTTTGTTAAAACTGCGCCTCCGGGTGTCACCTAATCGAAAAATCGACGACACGAACTCGACCTTTCTCGAACAAGTGATTTTTCAACGATCATGTCTCGACCATAGAATGATTAGCTGGGAACGAGCCCGTTTCAATATTTAGCGAAAGCTGCGATTTATTAAAATTGGATAAAAGGACGAATTGCGCAAAACACGTCTCCTTTGTGCCTCAGCACTAAAAATTTCAATATCTATAACATATTTTCCCGATTGAGCGTCACGTTGGATGCCTCTCTGTAATATATTGGCTGGTATTCCTTTAGCATTTCCGGTCCACTGAATGCTAAGACGATTCAAAGCGGATCGATGTGTTTGGTATAAATATTAACGCTCTATCAGCATTTTATATGTTTGGAAACATCTTTCGGTTGCGAGTTGAACATTTATTGCTTCATTATGTGCCCCTCGACGGATCAATGAAGAGGACGAGTTCTGCTCTTGGATGCTTGCAGGAACCCTCTTTGCTCAATTCCAACCAACTTTTCAGATAGTCATCAAAATCAGTAATGATGCGAAATTGACTCATCAGGATTTTTGCCAGGCTGAGATCAGTCTTTGGAATTCTTCCACGACAAAATGCGCTTAAGGAAAGAGATTTAGACGGCGTTTTTCCAAATACATTTAGTAGAATTTTCATTATTCTACAAGAATTAATTAATTTAAAGTCCACTTGTTTTTCAACAGAAATTACCAAGTTAAAGTTCTATTGAAAATCTTGATACCATCTATTTCCAAAGCATGTTTGTTTTAATTTTTGTCTTTAGAAGTTTTCTTAAAATATATTAATAATTAAAAATACTAAAAAGTAGTAAAATAACTTGTTTTCACTATTTAAAAAAAAAATTAAAACAAAGAAGGAAGCAACTTCGAGTTGATATTTTTTAGCAACCGTTAAGCGCACAGTTTTTCACAGGAAATGCTTAATTTTAACATTCTCGCGCGAGTCAAAATTAAAAACAAAGATAGAAAATCATAGACAAATATGCTGTAGGTTAAATTTTTTACAACTGTAAAATTGACAAAAACATTTGTATACCCCACAGAAATAAACAAATATCTTTTTAACACCTAAACTTCTTTAGTCATTTATCGTCATGTTAACGCTGTTTACTAGTTTTTAGCAAAAATTCTGTCTTGAATGAAATCGCTTCCGTAACCTTAGAAGTTGACATGATATAGGGTCACGACACAGCATTCAAACACCCCTATTTCTCTCGAAACTGACGACACGTATGACATTTCCATTAGCTCATTCCACTGTATGCACAAAAGAAAACATCTAACAAGTCGTACAGTCCTCTTAGTAAACCTTAAAGCCCCGAAATAATTGTCACTCCATAAATTGGCCCAATTCGAGTTAAACATGTCGCTGTATCGCCGCCAACTAAAAATTACACTCACACTTTTTAGCGATCGAGAGTTTCTCCTTGAGCTGGATACAACACAACAATTATTAAATAATTTCCTCGCTAATTGGGTGATACAAGATCGGTGCGGTTGTAATGAAAAGAAATAATAACCGTGACAGCAGAAGGCTCGTCGAAATTAATGGCTTGAAACAATCGTGAGAATCTTTAAACCTGCTAAAACGGTGCAGGTCAAGCTTTAATTTATAGTCTTCGAGCGCTGCTGGAAGCTAGCAACGTGCGCTTTTAATCAACAATTGTTTCAAGAGTGGGATTTCTTTAAAGTGAGCTTTTAACAACACATACATCACTCGTGGGATTGTTTGGTTTAAATGACTAAGTATTGTCGAACGGAACTCGGCCATTAATGATTTTACGACTTCGGCATGAAATGTCATGGCAAAATTTCAAGAAAAAGCTACCAATGAATAGCTCAGAGTTTATATAAAGAGCATATAAAACAGTTATTACTTATATGATTTGTCAATGGCGCATTGTGCATTTAAGGCCCAACTGGCGTTTTATGTCATTTCTTTATTGCGCCAAACTTTATCTTTGATTTTTATTAACCGAAATGGAATACACTTGTCGTGTTTTTACGTCCGTCGCAATTCCTCCATTTTTTTAACTCAGAAAACTCGATAAGCGAATCAAGTGGTCCGATAAAAGGTGCGAACTTCTTCGAGACGTTTATTTCCGGGTAAAGCTCGGTCGTAAGCTCGCATAGAAATGTAAAGCTGTCAGCTACATGGACGGTAATATCGCTGGAACTCGTATCCGAACGCATTGTGAAACACTATGGGATTGACGGCGTTTCAGATTGAAAGTTTCGTAGAGAAGGGGAAAAAAACTTCGCACGGCATATGGGAATGTCACGTTACTTCGTGTTGACAAATACAATTTTGGTTTGATTTTGCTCGGCGCTGCATTAACGATTCTGTCAGTGTTAAATGGGCTTATCGAATAATTTCTGAATCAGCAGAATCATGCGTTCCTCGAAATCCAGCTCCACGTTGAACCAATTCAAGAGTCTCTGCTTCTTAAGGACTGAGCACCAATGCTTCCGGGTGTCCCACGGAGCGGTCCTGAGCTTTTTCCGGAGGACGTTTTCTTTCAGCTTCAGGTTATGGGTGTCATAAGCCTTGTAAGTGGATTTTTCCAAACGAGGATGTATCTGAAAAAAATATACTGTTCCTGTAGATTTTAAAACTGTATTTATTAAGCGTTATTTTCATATAGATATAATTTCTTAAAAAAGTTAAATAAAATGATGGAAACAAAATATTTTGATACCAACATTTCTATCAGGCGTGGCATTTCGAAATAGTGCTACGCCAATTATTTATTTCGGTCGACTATCGACAAAACTTCAATCCGATTTTATCGAGGGGTGACATGGATCAATCTCCGGTCAATGTTCTCTAATTGCCCCGTCATCAAATTGTTTCTTCGGCCATATTTTGAAAGGGGTGATCAACAAAACTGTAAACCCGCAATAATAACCATGAGTCATGGTTAGGGCGCAGTTCGCGAGTCCTAACTCTGATTTTACGATATCGTTGCAAAGTCACTAACCATTCATTCTTCCACTATAAATACACCCATAACAATTCCTTGCACCCCAAGTTCTCTTTCGACTGTGGCCTTTCCGGAACTGTCTTTAAGAAAAATCCACTAGCAAGACCATCGTCGACGGTAAAAACAGTCCGAACTGTGTTTATCGGCCGTAACAAATCGCTAAGGGGTGGCATCACAGTCGTTCAGAGAATTTTTACTTTTTCCTGAGCGGAATATCGAGGAAAATTTGTTTGTTTGGTAGCGCAAAGAAGTTTCTTGTAGTGTAATTGCAAAGGCCGAGGATTTATCTTCAACTGAAATACTTTTTTTAAGCGTTAGAGCTAATATTGTGTTAAAGATGCACACAAAAAGGGTTCGGTTTTAATTGAATCCAGACTCGTGAGCAATTAAACATGAATATAAATTCGACTTGCAATAATAATAATGGAACTGAGGCTAGGAACAGGAGTTGTGGAGTTGGTGCTGCGGCAGCAGTGGTATTAGTGTTTGGAAGTCTGTGTTGACTTTAGTACTTAGTTAGCGGGAGAAACGGCCTCTAAATGAGACCAAGACAGAACCACGTGCGACCGCGTGTGTCATCTTGTTCGCTACTTACTACTTCGACTTCAACGGCCCAATTCCTCCCTTAAACGGCATTTGTATAATTAAATTAGAAGCCGACTCGTGTTCTTGGTTACATCGTGGCGGTTCCATCTCTTATGCATAGGCTCTCTGCTCTCATAACTGACATTAAAAGCAACATCAGTTAGCAAATTTAAAGCAACGAGGAAAATATGACCTTTCAGCAAAACCTGTTTGCAAGCAAACAAAATACTCGTTCTAGCAATCAAATAAATAAAATGTTAGTATTTAAAGTATATAAAGTATTTAAAGATTTATTTATGACTTTAAGACTTTAGTTTGGTTAAACCAATTTTTTCTCTTAGTGCTCTTAAGTTTGTTAATAAATAAATTAGTAACATCATAAAAAAAATTAATATTTTTTTCTCCACTGTCTACTACAGAAGTTGTTCAACTAACGCTATATCTCGCGTTATAGGTATTCTTGATAATAATAAATAATTTATTTATTAGATACTTACTTGTCAAAAAGGATGATGAAAACTTTATCCACAAAATGTTTCGATTTTAAAAAACTTGTATTTCTAAACTATCCTAGCAGTACAAAGACTAATGTTTTTTTTTACTTTTCGAATTTCCATCGATTATTATTGTATTCAGATAATTAAAACTCTGCATAATAATTTATTCACAATCACTAATGTAATTTGCCGATTACTAACCTTTTAAAGGTTGGGAAACACATCATTAAATCTCATGAGGAGTAATAATATTACTTCTCTTGGGCGGTAATATGCAGGATAGTCAACGTTAAAATTACAAAAATACCGGGAATTTTTTTTTCTTCTAAATTGTCAAGTTACGCAGTTTCTCTTACTTCTGGAGGAGCACACTGCCAAAAATCAAACGCCATTTGGATGGCTTATCACGTTTGGACTTTAACTTTGTCACAATTTTATTTTACTCAATTTTTGACTGAAAATAATGTGACTGTGAATAAAACAGCACACAAACCTCGGTGGCGCCTCTCGATCGTATACATAAGCACTCAGAGTAATGCCATATTTACCACTTTGCTTGTAATGTACTATTACATAAAAATTAAAAATAAAAGCAATTTAAATTAAAAAAAAATATATGTTGTTAAAAAGGTTATGAATTCATATTTGAAATTCATCAAAAAATCTTGTGCAATTCTATATTTTCTTGAGCTTGAATAGTGTCGTCGAATAGTTGAAAAATTGCGAATTTATGAGTGGCTGTTCTTGTTTGAATTATGGCTATAGTAAAAAATCCAATTTTTCGTCTCCTTTTTATCCAATAAATTTGCAAACAAAGAACTCTATGACCGGGCTTGTCCTAAACTAAAAAGATTAAAATGATACTCCTATTGGGTGAAATCGGCTTTATCATTGCTCTTGATTCGATTTGTGTCCCTCTTTGGCTTAAAAACGTCGCAAAACGCCACCACCATCCCCGTCTCTATTCATCATTAGCGTTATCGAAATTTTTTCCACCCTCGCGCCTTATGCACATGTTTGCTTCGCGGAAGTGCGGATCCGTTATCGGCGGAAATTATTTTGGTCGAGCAGCGTTTTAAAAGCAACGTATTCTACCTGAAGTAATATTTCAAAGCTCGAAAACACGAAAACCGTGTCACGCATCTTTAAAATTCGCGTCTGTAACAGCTTTTTCTACTCGAAAAGGTAAGCAGTGGATAATGTCTTTCCCTGCACTTTTCCATCACACAACGACGATCCTTCTCGTAAAATCTTGATGAGCTGAGGAGAATCCGAGGCGGCCAGCCATAGGCTGAATTAAACCATTAAATAAATAATCAGAAGGCGCTTCTCGGCGAAATTGCGTTGCGGTTAGGGCTACTTTACATAAACGTATACTTTTTACTACTAACGCTTGCGCCTGAACCGATCAAAAATTGATACATTTTACGAATATAGGCGACCAACAATGAAAACGGCTTCTGTGTGTTGCCACCCTCTAAATTTTTCGAGTAGAAGAAATTTCACAGTCAGATTTATGACTTGTCATTAGCAGATTCCGGTAAAAGAGCCATGCAATCATTCTGATGCATAATCGTTCGAAATTTCGACGGCGGCGTCGGCTTCGGTAACTCATAGAGACGTCTTTTGACAAATGCGAATGCCGATAGCAGTTACCGCAATTGTCGGCCTGGGGACAGGCAAAAATCGCAGTGATTCTTCTCAATTTGCACTTTCGGATTCGCTCGCTGGAAACGCCCTACACCTTTGCGTCGCACTTATTAGGCGTTTGTTATTCCGCCCTGATTCTCTACTAACCCGGAAAAGTGGCAAACTGGAATATATTATAGCAACTTATCCACTACTTACCGTATTCAATAAAGTCTCATATTGGGTTAGATCGATCTCGACACTCATGAAGCCGATATATTTCATCCGGTACAATTTTCCTTTCAACGAAGATTTATGAAATTAATTTATTTTATGCTGAGGGCGGTAAATATAGAGAATTAAGGTGAGCGTAAACAATAGATGCGAAGAACAAAACCAGAAATAGAAATGGAAAATGAGATTGTGCAAAATTTAACCGTTTAAAAAATGGTGTATGAAAGCATAATACTTAATTTATTTTAACATGAACACTAATTGCAAAATAAACGAAATAAAGGCTTTAATTATTTTTAACACGTTTGATATACGTCGAAACTAGAATCCAATTCTATTATGTTTTCTATCTATTTTCTATGTACATATGTCCCCGGATTGAGGTCACAAGAGGAATTTTTTTATCTTTGATTTTACGCCAAAACTGCATAAGAAAAACATTTTTTGCTTCACTTAAAACGAGCAAATCTGTAATTAAAACATTATTATTCTAATTCAGTGAAAAGAAAAGTTAATTTTTCTCTTGATTTTCCACTTTCGATTTTGGAATAATTTTTTCTCTGCTTTCTAGATCATATCACATTAGCGGTGTTATTTATTTGACGACTATTATATGTCACTTTGATCAATTAAATAATGATAAAGATTTGTCAACAAGAAATTACCACCTAGGATTTGAATTTTTAAGAAAATTACGTTTTTCATGTTGTTTGTAACTAAAATTTTCAGAAGTAATTTTGAATGCCTAGTGTTGGTTACCCCTTGTTGTTGACGGTTGACGTTTTCTGTCAACCTGCTGTCAGCTATCAATTGAGTTATCTATACAAACTGACAGGTGACTTAACCTAAATTTTTGACACTAGTTACGATATCTTTTGTTTGTCACTAAAAACCAACCTAACCAAATCTATGGCAACCTATTCATGAATATCCCTAAATCCTAGGGAGTAATTTATTGTTGATACGATAATAGTTTTTGTTAAAAATGACTTTGTTTTTGTTTCTTTGAGTTGCTATTTATTAAAATTACGTTTTTCACAAACATTTTTGTTATTTAACTCATTTGTTAAAGTGACATAATTTTCAAAAAAATTCAACAGCCAATGTGATGTCTAAAATCAAGAGAAAAATAAACTTTTCTTTATACTGAGTTAGAATAATGAAGTTTTAATTATAGATTTGCTCGTTCCAGGTGAAGCAAAAAATGTTTTTCCCTTGCAGTTTGGCGTAAAATCTTTTTTTTTTCCTCTTGTAAACTCAATTCGGGGACATACTGTGTAACTATAGTTTGCCTCAAAAGTAGTAAAAAAATAGATAAGTAGTTAGTAATTATACATACATTCTACAATGCGCACCGATTTTTCATATTTTCAATGAGTGCATAAACAAAAAACTTGATAAATTAATCGTCTTTAACTCACTTTAATGTATTTAAAATACCGTACAGGTACAGCTGTTTACTGGATTTTAAAAATAATCATTTTTCAAGTTGTTTTAAAAAATAGGTATTAAAATAGCACTAACCACAGTTTTTCATCGGTCAATGACCAATTATTTTAGATTTCAGATTTTTTTACTTTCTCCGGTAACATCATTAACTTCATGAACCCCTCGTACATTTTTGATAATTTTAAAGCATTCTTAATATGAAGTAGTCATTGTCTATTACTTATTTAGTGACATAATAGGCATTTAAAAAAATTAATTAAAAAAATAAAATAGTATTATAATGAACAAAGAAAAATAACAACAAATAATAAAAACAAAAGCAAATTAAATAATACGTACGATAGGTAACAAAAGTTATATTTTATGTAATAATACGGTTGAAAGCAATTTTTCTGTTTGCTTTAACAACACTCTACAAGTTACACACTGCCAGTTACTTCGAAACTCTTGTTGCTTGGAGCTACATAATGCAAGTATCAACGAAATAGAAAAAAATTCAGAGCCACCATTTATGACTTTTTCAATTGAGTACAATGACGGACAGTGAATTTTGTCCAAGTACCGTCCCTCAAAGAGTTAAAGCAATACAAATAACATGAAAAGTTTCTTTTTAGATCTTCTATGCGTTTCTTGATATAACTTATAGAACTTGAGAACAATTACACGAAAAAACGATTTTTGCTTCTTGATTTTTTGTATATATAGTAGGTTTAAAAGAAAAAATCAATTAAATAACAGTAAAAAAACATAAAAGTGGTTAAGTAGGTATGTATACAATAAAAAATCTAAAAAAAATAGTGGAAGATGAATTGAATTATTAAATTATTCCTGTTGCTAGAGATATTAACTTTGGTCAGCTTAAATCTCTAATATTCACAAAAGTGGCAACAGCGACAAAAGCGATTTCTAAATTCGGTAAAGAATCCAATCTCTCTGTACCTGAACCTCAATTCACAAATTATACTTAGTTATAGGGCAAGTGTTGTAAATCTCCATGATTTACAAGCTCTTTGTACATAGTGATATAAAACTGATTAAAAAAGTACTTCAACATGAAAAGTTAATAAATTCAACAACAGCATCACAAAGCCAAAAAAAACACGATTTGAATGAATGATAAGTAAAGTTATTTGAGAGAGTAATTTAAAAGTGTTTTTAATTGCTAATAGATTTTGCGTTTTGCGACAAGAATTGTCAATTTATGGTTCAAAAAATTCCTATCGACACTTTCCATTAGTGTCGGTGTCGTGAAAACTAAAGACGTCTGGCAAATTGGAGTAAGTTTGTAGTGTTGGCGCGTGCAATTGCATTTAAACGCCGCCATGATCGTGCTAGATTTGATTGCGGCCGGTAAATCGGAAATGCAATTGATTTTATCGGCCGGAAGTGCACTTTATGGTCGCTCAAGTGGTGCTATTAAACTTTATCACTCCCGTCGCCATATTGGTTATTTTGAGGCCAGGTTCCGAATAGATGTTTTTCCATGTTTTAATCCACGACTCCAGTCTCTGGGCTTATTGCCAGACCATCATGATAATATTTTTTCTCAAATTTCATCGTGGGATTGTTCCAGCCACCAAACTGTTTACTAAATTAATTGTGATATCTCCGACAACCAGGGCGGGTATAAAGCAAAATCATGTATAGTATTCCGAATAAACAGATGTTATTTACACAGTCAACAGGGATGTTGTGGTTGCTTGGTTTCAATGCAAATGACGTGTGTTCGTCGCAGAGTAGATGGAGGAACGACGAAACGTCAATGGTAATGTTTGTGGCTGTTGTACCACCATCGCTTTAATTGATATGACTTTATTGATGAAATGGCGTTAACTTGTTAACTATCCTGGACGATCAAATTACAAACATGCTTGACTTGTATGCTGCATGTGCTCCTCATGTCACCATAAAATGTACTCCATCGACTGATTAGGTAATGACCCCAAAATATAAGTTGTAAACAACACTGTTAAATACAAAGTTGTTATATGGATCTTTTATACTATCAAAATAAATTAATTGGACCTGTAGAGCCTTTTTTTATCATTCTAAACACAAATGGTTTAGTTCAATCAAGATCAATCACGTGCCAAAAAAATCTCTTTTATTGACTTTGCATAAGAGTGCCACATTTGCTTGCACGTTAGTCTGATTGGTTTCATCTCTGAATTATCCATTACCAACATAAATACCAGATGCCAATCCTTCTCGGTAACGACCCAACGTAACATCATTAAACCCATCATCCGAACGTTTCTTATTAACATTTCAATGATTGCATTCGAGCTCAAGTCATAATGAAGAGAATTAACCTGAAACGTTTCGTGTCCCCGCTGTAATTGATAGTGTGCGTGGTGCGCGATCCACTCCGGGGATTCCGGTTCGGCGCTCGATTCGTCCGTGTATTCGACGCGCACTGATATATGCCGGAGTGGTTGTGACATTTGAAATATAAGGATGACTCACAGCTCCGGAATCGGAAAAGTGCTCTTTTAAAAGTCGGCATAAATATCTTACCAACACTTATCGATCCGAAAAGCTCAAGATGACTTACATTGTACAATCCCGGACCCGGAGTTTCCTCCACACATTTGAATCGAGGCGACATGGCGAAACGACAACTCGTATAGTCGAGGCCTCGCTCGGTCTTGTAACTAGAAGGACCTGAAAAATTACATTTAATGGGGAGGAACACGGTATGGGGACGTATGGTGTACATGGGACTCCAGTTTTCACTGCCGGAGTGACGCTGCGTGGACCGGAAGAGTTGAATGGCACCTCCGCCACGCTATGGCACTTCCGGTTTCGACTTTTGGCAAAACTCTCTCTAATATTGTACTCAGCCGGACCTATGGAATCCTACGAAGAAAAGGCTTATTCCGGTTTGGAACAAATTTAATTAAAAACACCAAGAATTTGTTAGTTTATGATTTAATTTCTGGGTAAATGTTATGTAGCTTTTTTTTGGAATATAAGCTCATAAGTAGTCACAGTTTTATTATTTAATTGGCCAACGCTCTAAAGTTGAAGTTATATACTAAAGATGTGGAACGATTCCCGCGTTGTTCATCTCTAAATGCGCCGATATCCTCATGGGGGTGGAATAGCGTTACCCGCGGGGGTGTAAATAACAAACAAGTAGCTAAGTGACAGTGTCGCTGTTAGTGTAAGCACAGAGAACCGCGTTAATTGAAATATATTGTCTAGGCGCTGATTGTTCGGCGAGGCGGCGTTTTGATCGGGAGTGTTAGCATGACGTTTGGTGTAACCACTCGTTCTAGACAAACGAGGGGTTTTCTGATTCATGTTCATGGCGAATCTTTTGATCGTCATTCTCTAATAGTAGATTTGTACGTTGTAGTCTTGTAAACAACGAACCGTCGTAATTTAACTGAGTTTCCAAGTCAAACATTTAATCCATTAAAAGTTTCAAATGAAGTTAGACGACTCGAGAGACCATATTCTTATTCAGCCGTTGGTTTGGATGACCATATTTGCATTCCGCATAAATCCAATCGGTGCGGCAGCCCTAAACGAGTGTATTTATGTCGGGATGAGGTGATAGCGTTGACAGGCCTTTATAAACACATATTTACATTTTATAACCGACATGAAGTGTGCGTAAGCAGAGTCGCTTGTCTGTTTATTAAAATTAACAAGGCTTGATGACCTGTCATATGCATCTATATGCTGACCATAGCTCGCGTGTGTGTGCACACAACTGTTCCTATTTATTAATTTTGAGATAAGTCAGACCAGATGCGGCTAACATTTTGTTTAATCAGTGCCGGAAGACGTCAAGTAAGACGACTGTCAACGGCAATGATTGCTAATCAAGTTTCGAAATTATGGAGAGTTAATTTAAATAAACGAACAGCACGGGGTATTAAATTTTTAGTCTTCTATGGTAATAATCCCATAATCGGGGATTTATAACAGTCTTATTTCTAGGATCAGCTTTTCCAGATTCGACATGGGTGGGCTATTATCAGGTTAAGCTATCCCATAAAATATTTCCGATTTTAATAGCTTATAAATTACGGAGCACTTGCTCCCGGCTACTTCATTATTTTCTCTAACAAAAATCATTTGCATTAAACTTATCGAACCATAGACCTATTTTATAATTTTTAAGAATACCCTTTGATTCGTATTAAACTTTTCTTTCTTGTATCAAGTGTCCAAATTTTATTTTTATTGTTACAAATCTAAAATTCTAAAAAATCTAATAATTTTACTCTTTAAATTTCCACTTGTTTTAAGTAAAACTTTCCGAATACTTTTAGTTTTATTTACTTTCTAAAGTTTTAAGAAGTAAATTTGTTAATATTGAATTATTTTGAAAAAAACAAGAGCCGCGCCAAGAGCTTCATTATTTTTGAAACTCTGCTACTAAAACTATGAGAATTTTTCTGGCTCAACGTTTCACAAAATCCGTGCTTTTTTATTCTCAGAAATAAAAAGCTTTAATTTAATGAAAATCAAGTCGAAAATTAGTTAAACCCGGCGCTAATTAAGAAATATTAATTCTCTTCGACTCGGCGACTGTTAAAAACGCCACAAGAATGTACCCACTCCCAATTTATCAAGCTCAAGTCAAATTTCCTGTTCTTGGGCGTAACGTTCCCGTGACAAGGATTTCCACCTAATAACAACGTGATTAAGACGTATCGTTGTCTGTCCTTAACGACTTAAAGAGATTGATGTAAAAATTAATAAGAACGTCATGTTTGTAAAGAACAATTAAACCTCACCTTCCCATCCTTCAGACAAGAAAATCTTTCAACACAATTTTTAAACACAGACGAATAAATCTCCGTTGTATCATCGTACTCTTCATCTTGATCTTCGGGATAATCAGCCGCAGAAGGGGTATATGCGGCGTCTCGGGGGGCAAAACTAATTTTTCGAGGGGCGGTCGTGTTAAAAGGAGGGTCGCAAATCGCAAAGCGGTTTTTTTTACTTTCGATTTTTTGTTGGAGAGCGCCCTTTAGGTTGTAACAAGCCGGTCCTGGGTGGAATCAAAATAAAAATAATAATAAATATACCCTCTTCTTACCCGGTGTGCAGGCAAGTTTTTTCCGCTTGAATCTTGGGGACTCAACTTCGAAGGGGGCACATTTCGTGGAGAATTGCTTTTGTTTTGTACTGCAGTCGCACACCGTGTATTGCGTGGGGGCTGGGGTGTCTGAAATTTTGTAGGAGAACCTTGCGGTGGCACTAATAAAAGGTCTGGGGTTGATGCTTTCACACTCTTTCTTTGAAGTGCCCAGGTCATAGGATCCAGGTCCGGGCATTTTCTAAGAAAACAAAAACTCTTAGTCGTCTCACCGGAAGGGCACTCTCCAGTGTGTCAAGTTTTAGATAATTTAATGAGTGGAGAGGAAGCGGTGTTATTAATCCCGACATGTGGGCGCGAAGGATATTTTCGTTGACTTAATTTGACTGTGAAATGGTAATGTTGAGTAATGCGAATTGCTCGCAATCCACTCTAATTAGGATAAATTATGATGTATCTGAGCAATTTATTTAATAAATTTTGGACGATTACTCATTGCATTGGCTCCATTAATTAGAAACAGCGAAGAGTGGCACAAAAAGCGTTTTCCGATTATACGAAAAGAACTATCTTCGACGATGACCTACCACAGGCAACGGCGTGCCTCTATACCCATTTCTGGGAATCCAACTTTGTTTCGATCCAGCGTTCGTAATCCAGGGCTCGAGATTTATCAAACACTAGGCCAACCAGTTTTCTAATGATAATCGGATGCTCGATTCATAAAAGAACTCTCCAAACACAGCTATCATAAATTGCTGGTAATTGATTTCTTTTTTGTCTTTACAGATGCACGAGTAAACAAGATGTGGTAGGTATGTTCGTTTAAAAAGCAGTAGGAGCTAACTTAATTAAGGCGTTATTTGTGAAGCCGCTGCTTAAAACTATGTCAGACAAATTGAAGTTGTATGGATTCTCATTAAGATGAGGAGAAAAACCAATATTTACCAATTTGAAAAAGAGCTACAAAGTTTCAAGGAAAATAGAGAATGGTAGAAATATAGACATTTTTAACAGTGAACATTTAATTTTTTTAATCTTGAAAATTTTTTCGTTTTTATTTTAAAGTGTAACAATTTTCAAGGGCTGATGATGGCGCAAGGGTGCCGAACATGTCCCAACTTGACTAAATAAAATTTATCGATTTGTGGAGTTGTTTAAAACTAAAGTCTGTTTTTTTTTAATAGAAATGCCAAACAGTCTTCAGTTGCGTTGGCACCACTAGTAAATTCATTCATGGTAATTTTAATAAAGGAAGTTAGCAGTTCCGTTTTTTTGAATTAATTTGAAAACAGTGTCATTAAACGTCAACACAAAAAATCGTCTAAGAAAATTTAGAGACAGTACACCAAAAAAGGAACAAATTCGGTACCTACTATTAACAGTTTTTAGAAATTTGGAAACGAATAGTCCGCAAGCAGGAAGTTAGAAAAAAGGCCCGTTAAAATGTAGACGCAATTTGTAATGCAGGTTTGCTAAACATTCTCAATTTTTAGCAAGAAATTGACAAGAATACAAAATAAAACAAATAAAATAAAACATGAATGAGAAAGAACCTCGGAGAGAACGCAATTAAATTAGTGTATTGTGCATCGTTTTTGAGAAACAAGTTGAAAAAGTAACAATTTTGAAACTAAAGCTGAAGAATAATTTATAAAATGCATCAACTTTGAGCTCATTTCAATAAATTACACAAAATTTATTGCCAATTATCATAATAACTACTTGTATCGTTTGCTAAATAAATATTTTCTGAATATACATCCTTTTTTTTCAAAGTTTTTGTAGCAAGATCCTCATTTTTGCCCACAACATTGTACTTACTTGCGGTGTGTTTCTATCAAAATTATTAGCACTGAATTCTGTTTTTAGGCATTAGGTAATGATGTCTGTCCTCAGGTATTTAATTATAGCGCTTTCAAAGAGCAAACAGGCACATAAGATTCATAAAAGTCAAAATTTTGACAACATCTTAATTTGAAAACATAACCATAATTTTTTAACCAAATTTCTAGAGACAAAAACAAAGAGCAAACAAAATTTGTGGCTATGGAGCCAAGCTGATACCAATTTTTTCACCAAAATTTTGACTTGGTAATTTCCATTTAAAAAAAAAACAGACTTTATAAAACATCCACTTTGGGAAGAAAATGGATCGAGTTCTACTACGAGTATTAGTTGTGATTCAAAAGTATCGGGCCATCTCTTGGGTGATGATAAAGGACATCCAAAAAGTTCCTAAGACAAAAAATTGTTTGGGCCTTTTTTCACGTGATATACGTAGTTCTTCAAAGGTTAGATTTTGGTTTAAGTTTTTGGCCGTTCAGATTATGTATTCGTGACTTTAATTAGCGGAAACAGGAGATCTTACAACATTAAACACATACCGATTGAAAAAAATTACCAATTTGTGACTTATGGTGTACAAAACATTTAAAACACAAGCAATTTCAACAATAAATAACGAAATATCCAAAACAAGAGATAAAATGTCTACTTACCGGGTTATTCACGAGAGGGTGATTTCTGATTTTTTTGCCGCAACCCATTATATATATTGCAACAATTTCTTAATTTCAAATTTTGAAAATAATTATAACTGAATCCACGATAGCTGTTACATATTAGTCTTGTCTCTTTGACATTAAACCAAAAAAATCATCTTTCAAACGATGAGACATGTTTTGTTATCGTTTACCAACCGACTAGGCGAATGTAGACACTTCAAACACCTTTTGCAGTAACTTAACTTGTTAATTTGTTGAATTTTGATTAAATATAGGTTATCTGTCAATCTAACATTTCTGGCAAATCTTTCCAACTTAATTTGATTTCTAATATAAAAGAAATAACATATTTAATTTAGCAGTTAGTGATATTGGTATTGTTGGTTGCCGCACAAAAATTTTTAGAAATGACCCTCTCGTGCATAACCCTGTAACAATATAAAAATTCACAGTTCTTTCTCAAAAAATAGGCCCGAAAAATCTGCATTCATTTTTATGCTTAGTAGAAAGTCTTCTATCACCATTCGAAAGCTGATCCGATACTTTTGAATATGCAGGATACATTAACATTCTTATTTTCATTTTAATAAACTGATTGTATGATGTTTCATTACTTGTATTTAATAAGATAATACGCAACGGTTAAGAGGTGAATTAATGTAAGAGTTGTCAATAATTGTAGGAAAGGGTGGGGCAAGTTACATTTTCGATAACAATTTGTTTTCTTACAATCTATTACACCACAAAAAAATTAAATACAAGTATACATATAGGATTAAACAATATGCAATTGCATGCAAAATAATTTGGTCGTCAATGTAATTAATAACAATGATTAATAATAAAGCCAATAGACGTTTAAACTATTTTTGACTTTTTGAGACAAAAAAGTATACAGACTGAGACAGAGTGATTCACGTAAAACCACAAGCTTGACTAAATTCATTAGTATTATTACAACTCTAGTAATTTGACAATCAGTGATATGTAAGAAACTTGAGCAAACATTACGAATAAATATTTGCAGATAAATGATGCAGTAACACTTTGGTGACATTTACAGTTTTTATACATAAATATTTAAGTAAGTTTTACTCTACTTTGGTTAGATAAATACGAATATTACGAATAGATGACACTCCTTTTCTTTTACTATAATATACTCGTAATATAATACTATAATAAAAAAAAACTTATTTTTAAACTTTGTGAATTACTAAATAAAATAAACTTTTTAAAGTTCTTATTCTTCTCTATAAATATTTTATAAGCCATGAAGCATATACCTCTCTTTGAGCTTTCATTTCTTGAGCTTCTACGTATCTGGGTATGAAAGTGAACAACCGCGCCATCTCTCTATACTTTTCATCTTCTTCAGCTTTTCGACACTTAGGAATCTCTACCGAATAAGCTGCAGGTCCCGGCCCAGCAGTCGTGTATTTCTTATCATCAAACCTCTCTGAAGTCCTACAAGCCCACCTCCACCCTTTACCGACCCCAAACTGACTCTAGAAAAACCTTTAAAATTCAACATTTTTACAAATCAAAATTTAAAGACCTTTATCTCTAAATCGACTGGAATTTTTTCATCCGGGGGCACTTTAACAATCTTTCCTTCCTCATCAATCTCATACCCATTCTCGTCCACTTTACTCGGAATCGAAGGTGCCGTCACTGTGGAAGAATAAGGCACGGCACACACGTATACTTTTGGTTTAGTTGGATCAAGTTTGAGCTTCTTTTTACCACATTGTATGGGTTTGGGGTTATATTTTGTAGGGGCAGGTGTGTCGTCAGCTTTGTAGACAAACCTTGGGGCGCGATTTTTAATTGAGGAGCCGCCCTAAATCCGTTTTTTGAAAGCTGACACGAGATGCTTGGGGTGACTTACTTTGATTTTGGTGCGATAATCTCTGATGTCGTAGATTGCATTGGTGTTAAGTTTGCTGATGAAAGATGGGGATTTTATTGTGTTGGATAGGAAAGGAGCATAATTTTCTGCGGGTTGATAATAATTATTTTGTGATGATTGAGGTTTACGTACGCTTCCGACAACGAGGTTCGCATGTTACATAAGTGCTAGGACCCACATTTTCGCCAGTTGATGATTTTATTAGCACTGTTCTTGAAGAAACGTCATACATATTTGATTAGAAAATGACAATAAATAATTTTAGATTGAGTGAAAGGGGCTAGATTTTTAAATTTTTGCATGAAACAATTATTATCTTTTAGTAATTAATTTAAATACAAGATGTTTCACGAAATTTTACGAGGCCTGCTCCTGTAAGATGCAATCAATAATACATATTCCGATACGAACTCGATTACAAATTTTGAAAAATTGGATAATCTTTTCTAGTTTGTTCACCCTTTAAAAAATTACAACGTTTAGTTAGTTAGTGATTAAGATAGATAAACTACAATCATATTCATGCCGTCTCTTGATAGAACAAATGATAATTGTTTCTGAAAAACTGCAGTTTATGACTATTAATGAAACAGTGATTAGTTTGACAACTACTGTCATGGGTTTCCAAAAATTAAATAATCAAATGTGTATTTTTTGTATCCAGTGTTCTGTGACTTTTGTATATTTGGGTGCGTACATTAGGCGCAAGCCTCGTAAAGTTATGTGAAACACCCTGTATAATTAGAAGTCATAAGTAAATATTTTTACCGACGTAATATTTTATTTTCTTTATGTGTTATAGCAAGCTATTGTTGCAAAATTACGAATAGAATAAATTTTGTTTCTTATTACTATATTTTGGTAATTTTTATTTTTTATTTTTACGTCATTGCTGTGATTACAGATAAACTTTCGGGGGTTCACAAACGCAAAGCAAGATAACAGAAAATTTGTAAATTCAGCAAATCTTTTACTTTGTATTCGTCTTTATGTAAGTATTACTTACAGTTCTAAAGTTAGCATTGCAAGAAATGTTACAGTTCAAAAGTCTTTATGAAAAAGACGGAAATTTAACGTCTTTCGAAGGTCGTCTGATAAGAATTTAATTTAAATACATCAAAGAATGTGTTGAGTTATCCAAACGCAAGTTCTTGTTTGTATGTGCATAAATAAAGACCAATAAATCTATTGTCTTCAATTGTAATATTAAAAATGAAAGTAATTCAATTTTTACATCTGTTCTTTGCAGTCTTTGTAACAGGTATGTAAATGATTTATTTGATTGTTCATGTTCCAAATTCTTTAATTTTCAGCAGTTCTTCCAAAATCAAATGCTGAAATTTGGAACAAGCCACCTAGTAAGATACATGCATAGGCATATGTAATTATATGTTATAAAGAATTTCAAAAATTGTAGGTTGTTTCATCGACAATCAAAGAAAAAATTACTTAAGGATTGACGAACCAGTTTACGATACTGATGAAGAAACTATTATTTCTCAGAATAGACAATATGAAATGACAAACGTCAGACAATGTAACAATCATAATTACAGGCTGTCGCTCGAGTATTAATGAGCTTGAATTTTTTTTTAAAGCTATTAACATTACATTTCAAAGATAATGTGGATATTAAAATATTTGATTTATAATTAATTAAGAGATCGCGAAGCGTTTTTTAAACATTCTCCATCACTGAGAATCATGTCTGTGTTTCAAACGGTCTTTCAACAGTTTGACATTTTATAAATTAAAGTTATAGTGTTGTCTGGTCAGTATGTTTAATTTATTAAAATTAAATATTTTTATTCACAATCACTAATGTAATATGTTGATTACTAACCTTTTAAAGGTTGGGAAACACATGATTAAATCTCATGAGGAGTAATAATATTACTTCTCTTGGGCGGTAATATGCAGGTGAAGGTGAAGGAAATCAGCGTCGACTTTCCCTGGTTTTTGATCGCGTTCTTAAGTGTCTCGTGTCGGTCAATGACTGGGAATTTTTAACTTCTAGAAACATTACTCGTTATATTCGTTTCTAAATTGAATCCTACAAACGATAATGTGTGCAATTTGTTAGAAACTCCGTTTAATCGCTGGAAAGAAGATGACCAAAAAGACGTTTTAACCGCGCCCTACTGTACATTTGTCAGTTTTTTCTTTTAGTAATTACTTTTATTAAAAGAATATATTATTTAGTTGGGTAAATGAGATCATTACTTTTTAAAGATTAAACCATATTCCAGCTTCAAAAAGAAATGTACAATTTTTAGCTCTTTACCTAGTTTTGAACCCACGAGCCTCCACTGATTCGGGGTAATGCTATATTTACCACCTCGCTTGTAATGTACTATAATATCCATGTTATCTTTGGAATGTAATGTTGGTTGCTTAAACAAATTTAGAGGCTTATTATTATTCGAGAGATACATAGTATAATGCATATTATGTTCATTTACTATGTTTTCAGATGTTGTTAATAATTATCCCTATTTTAAGGGAAATATTTTTGAAACTCCTGAAAGAATGGTGTACTTACCATCACATACACTTCAGATTCGTTTGATGCAAATAGACGAAAAGAAAGAAATTAGCAGAGCGGGAGATTTTTATTATTACAATTTTACTATAACACTAATCTGTAATAATGATGATTTGGTTGATGTGGTAAGCAAAAATTACTCTTTTTTAGTACTACATTCATAATGTTCGATTCATCATAATAATGTTACATTTTTGTAGTACACAGTTCTTCCTATAATTGACACCAACAACCCCGAGCCATTTTTTGGTAAACCAAAATACACCTACAACCTAATTTCTTCATATGCTGAAGATTTCAAACGTCAACAACTTCTAAACCCCATTATCGCAACAGATTATGATGTAACCAACGCAGCAGTACAATTTACCATGGAAAATAATCCACATTTTGACATAATGTACAATGGAATTGTAGCTAATACACTCAACAAGCATCATTACGCTTTACTAACGCCCAAAGTCCCTGGCAAACTTATTACTGACAAAATTGAAGTTACTATTAAAGTGACTGTAAATTTCGTACAGTTGTGTAAATGCTAAATAAAAAAAACTTTTTTACAGGACATGGGATTTCCCCCGAGAAGTAACGTTACAAAAGTCGTAATAAATCCACCATCGCCACCAATGCCAATTTTTAAATCTCCTTTTTATGTAGGTCATTATTACAAGAATAATACGTTTGTTATGCATGAAAATCCAGAATTGGATGAAGGATGTACATTTTATTCGACAAGTGTTGAAATATCATATAACAATGTAATAAGTAGAATTTTTTATACTACAATAGTCGATGATAAGATTATTATAAACAAAAGTGATGGTGAGAGTTTGTATGATTTTTACGAAGAAAACTACACAGCTTACCAACTGAAAGCAAAATATACTGATCCAATCACCAATCTGTTTAATGTTGGAGTAGCAACTTTTATTGTAGAACATCATCACGATTTATAAAGAAATTAACCATTGTTTATTATTAAATACATTTGAATAAATCTTTAAATGCAACATTTTGCTTTATTCTTTAAATGACTCTCAACTACATAATTCTTTTTTACCAATTTTTCTTGTTTCTCAACAAGAAAGGAAACTGAAAGAAATTTTAGGATACAATATTCTTACACTAATAAATAAAAATATTAACATTAAAGTTGCATTTTAAAGGTTTTTATACATAAATGTAATGTAATGTTGTGTTTGAAATAAAAGTTTGGTGTGACGGGTTTAATCGTGTTTTTGTTCATCATTTCCATACCAAGAGGATCCAATAAGAAGTATTAATGTAAGGAAAAGAAATTTGAGAGTACCCAACTAAATGGTTCTACAAACCTACCGATCCTTGAATTACTGTGTGTACACGTATATAAAATAAATAATGCCTTTAACCGATTTATCTGTTGACTGTACTTACAAATACTGATAAAGTCTAGAAACTAAAAAACATCTTTGCATGATAAGAAAGAAATACTTGTAATTGTACCGTTTTTGAAGACAAACTTGTAAAGAAAAAAAAAAGTTTATAGATTATTAAAATGAAAAAAATAACCAATTTCATACTGTTTTTCAAAGTTCTTGTGCTTATTTGTGGTAAGTTTTATTCTCTAGACTTATTATTCCTACTTCTTCTTGGTATGGAAACGATGAACAAAAACACGATTAGCCCGTCACACCAAACTTTTATTTAAAACACAACGCGTTTCAACTACAAAGTGGTCATCCTCAGGCGAGAATAAAACTGTTGTGTTTTAAATAAAAGTTTGTTGTGACGGACTAGTCGTGTTTTTGTTTATTATTCCTGTTTAATTTTGAATATTTTTAGGACCACTGGTATTAACTGCAGAATCCCTAAGTTTGTGGAATTAATATTTATAAAAAATATGTGAACCACTTATAATTACAGGCTGCACGTTCGGCAACTACGACCACAATTACATAAAAATTCAAGAATTTGTTAATGATGATGAAAATAGTACAACTATTCCTAAAAAAAATAAATTGTATGCTAACAGTGTACAAGGTAAAGTTTAGTGAACTTCAAAGAAAAAAAGATTGATTATTTGTAATTATACGTGTACATAACTTTTTGTATTCTTTATATTTTTTATTGTTAACTGCTTTTTTTATTTTTAAGTATTATTATTAGTATTATTTACTTTTAGGGATGGATATTATGAATAATTCATACGTTATAATTAACAAGAACCATTATGAAGGCTCTTTCACATTTATCTTCTCTCAAATTAATGAAAAATTTGAACCTAGTCAAAGTAATTTTTGCTATAATTTTACAGTAAGATTAAATTGTACGAATCGTGATATTGTTGATTTGGTAAAAAACTAATATGACCATTTTTCAAAATTCATTTAACGTGTTGCAGTACGTGAAAGTGCCTCTTATTGACACAAACAACCACGAGCCGTTTTTTGAAAAACCGAAATACACCTACAACCTCATTTCCTCATACGCTGAAGATTTCAAACGCCAACAATTTCTAAACCCTGTTATTGCAACAGATTATGATGTAACCAACACTGCAGTAAAATTCAGCAATGAAGAAAATGAGTATTTTAATATAATGTACAACGGGATTGTTCCTAATAGCCTCAACAAGAAACATTACGCTCTTTTAACACCCAAAATTCCTGGCAAACTTGTTACTAGAAAAATCGAAGTTAACATCACCGTTACAGTAAGTTCCAAATGCACACTTACTTTGACTCAAATACTAATAAATGCAGGATGTGGGTTTTCCTCCCCGAAGTAACGTTACAAAACTTGTAATAAATCCCCCTTCACCGCCAGGTCCTGTTTTCTCATCACCTTTCTATGTAGGCCATTCTTACAAAAATCGTACATTTGTAATGTTTGAAAACCCGAAATTAGAAGAAGGTTGTACGTTTTACGAAACCCGAATTGACGTCTTAACCACTGGTAACAAAAGTAGAGTCTTTTATGCCGAAATAATAAACGATAAAATTTTGATAAAAAAATTCAAAACCAATTTGAGCTATTTTTTCGAAAAAAATTATAGCATTTATCAGTTAAAAGCATTCTACATAGATCGAGTCACCAAATTGTACTCTTCCGGAACAGCTACTCTGATAGTAGAAGACCATCACGACTTGTAAAACCACAAGGAAATAAATTTTCTGCTTAGCAATGTATTCAAATCATTTAATAAAGAAAATTGTTTATGCGATTAAATAATTGCAACAACTTTAAATCGGTTGTTTTTTCTGACCCTTGAACATATCCTCATACACCATGAGAGGATTCTTGTATATTTTATTAATAACAAGAGTGAAAAGTGACGATTATGTTTGTGAGATTAATGCTTGTGACGCTCTCGAACAGAGCAAAATTGATTTGCAAGAATTTATCGATAGTTTAGAAGACAACAATAATAACAGTTATTTAGTGAGATTAGAACGAAGACTGCGATCTTTGGAACAACCAGGTATATATTTTAAGCACAAAAATTGTAATTGCTGATTTTTCTAAAGTATGGAAAGTCTCAAAACTGAACGAGAGATGGCTCGAATGTACACAAGGTCCTTGCAAATGTAGACCGGAAACGAAGACTTTGTCTTGTTGGCAGCAGGATTTATCTGTTTTGCCGGCTCTTCAAGTGTTGCCTTCAGATGTTATTTCTATGTAAGATAAAAATGTATTTATTTATTTTGAAAATTAGTAGAAGTTTTGTAGTGATTTGGGTATTAATGGACTCACAACTTTGAACAAAAATGCTTTCACCATGTTGTCATTTTTGACCGAGCTTGATCTTTTCGATAATGATCTTGATTATTTACCAGAATCGGTATTCGACGACTTAAACAACTTGCAATACTTGTAAATTAATATTTTAAATTTAATTTGAGGGTTAAGTACTTATTAGATATTTTCAGACGATTGCACAAAAATAAACTTGAAGATGTTTCGTATAATTTGTTATTTAAATTAAAAAATTTGCAAACACTTGATTTGTCCAACAACAATATTCGGCAGTTACATCCTCATTTTTTTAAAGGAAATCTCAAATTAATTGTTTTACACATGTCTAGAAATCAAATTAAAATAATTCCTCAAACGCTATTCTCCAACCTGGAAGTACTCGAAGACTTGGATTTGAGTAACAACAAAATTGAGAGATTGCCAAAATTTTTGTTTACAGATTTGAAAAATTTAAAAAGATTGCAGATGGCTGAAAACAGAATTGATTATCTACCATCAGGTAATTTTTGTTTTGTTGAAATCTGAGCCAATATTGTCTTGTAGGTTTGTTTGACTCACTCTTGAGTCTCGAATTTTTGAATTTTAGAAAAAATCATATTTCGAGTATTTCTGACAAACTTTTCGGAAATTTAGGAAACTTAAAGGTTCTACAATTGACTTCAAACCATTTGAGAAAAGTAATTTTGACAAAAATGGTCTAAAGTTAATTTAAAATTGTTTCAGGTGCAAATAAACGATTTTGTGAATTTACACAACTTGGAGGAGTTACATTTGGGTCAGAATTTTATTTCCGAATTATCGGAAAACTGTTTCGAGACAAACAACAATTTAAAAAAACTTTTCCTATTTTCAAACAACTTGGAAGAGTTGGCAGAAAAAAGTTTTAATGGGCTAACCAATTTAAATTCACTTTTAATTAATAATAATATTCTCAGCAGCATCCATGAAGAAATTTTTTCTTATACTCCAAATTTAGAGAAACTGTAAAATCTTTTTTTTGTTGATACTTTTAACTAGATTTACATTTTAGAGATTTGGACAGCAATAGATTTCACTTTTTGCCTTCCAAATGTTTAGACTACCTGGACAAATTAATTTCAATAAAACTGGCGAAGAATCCTTGGTACTGCGATTGCAACATTTTATACTTAGCCCTGTACGTATCTAATTGCAATTGATTTACAAACTAATAAATAAAAAAAACAGCTGGGTCGACGAAAATAAGAGCAAAATTTGGGACACTCAACCCACCTGTCGTGGCCCAACCGAGTTAGGTGGTGCTTTACTAAAAGTCATGAGTTTTAATGATCTCTGCGATGGTCAGTGGGCAAGTATGGTAAATTTGGCGCCCAGAATACCCGTCCGACAAGTCACCATTCAACCACCACCAACAACTGAAAAAAACAATTAGATTTTAATTAGTTTTTTATCCACCTGTTTAGCATAGCTTAATTGTAGAATTGTAACCTTGTAGTTGTAAGAATAGTATTACACCTGTCATGCCTTTTCAAGACTATTCTTGATACATTTTTTTATTTAGTTCATTTGGCTAAGTTCACCAAACGATTTGCAAAGAATTATTATTTGCAGGGCACCAAGTAATTGTCTTAACCAAAAATCTTCTCAAAAATGAAACTAATTTGACTGAAATTGAAATATCCACTCTTAATTATTCTCTATGAAAAGATAAGTACCTACCTATGTACCTAGTGTGTTTTATGAGAATATTTTGTATTTATGTATTTATTAAAGTTTTTGTTATGTTAATTTTAGTACCATATTTAATTATACACTCTGTAAATAAATCTATGCAAATATTTTGTGTAAAAATTAAAAAGAAAAACAGTTTGCTGTTGTTTCTTTTTCCTGTTTTGATTAAATAAATTAACACTATTTTATATTTTTAAATGTTTTTATTGCCCAACAAAACAATGTAATTGCTTTTTGGCAAAGCAAAAAAAACAGTTTTTGTGTTAAGTTAAAAAAAACTTTTGAATTGCATTTAGCGCTAGCCTTAAATTCAAAATGGCGAAGTATTATCTATACAACTTAAGGTGGTCTGCTGTATTTTTCGGATCAATAAACTACTATTGTAATTTTCATCTACAAGTGAGGTTAGGCTTTTAAATTTGCGCTTATAGGACGTATTTTACATAAAAATGGTAATTACGCTTTTTAATAAAATTCCTAATTTAAGAACTAATAATTTTATTCTTTTAGCTGCCTTTATCGTTACTTCGGACGGCACAAAACCATCCCATGGTAAATCAATCACTTAGAATCACGTAAATTGAGATTAAAATTTTCACTTTTAGCTTGTAGAATTGAAGAATGGAGAAACTTACAACGGTCATTTAGTCAGTTGCGATAATTGGATGAATATTAATTTGCGTGAAGTCATTTGCACTTCTAGAGTAAGTGTTGAAGAGGTTAGCTTGGGGCAATTAATTTTGTGTTTTTTAAGGATGGCGACAAGTTTTGGCGAATGCCTGAATGTTACATAAGAGGCAGCACAATAAAATATTTACGTATCCCAGATGAAGTAATAGATATGGTCAAAGAGGAAGCTGTGGTGAAGAATAGAGGTAGAGACATGAAAAGTGGTCGAGGGGGGCAAAACCAGAGAAATAGACCGGCTGCTAGAGGTATCAAATGTTATAGTTTCGTATTTTTATTAAAATTTGTGAATTTAGGTAATTTTGGAGGCCGTGCAGGCAAGCCAGGTCAAGGCGGACGAAACCCCCCGTTCCAGAAACAGAAACCGAAATAAAACAATCATTTTCATGCATGTCATTTTTTTATTTATAAGAAGCTTAACATAGGTATAAATAAAAACTTTGCGAAATAAATTGAATTTTTATTTGAATATGAGCGCCATCTAGCGACTAGTAAGATCCGGGTCCCGGATTTCAGGACATGCGCGAACTTGGTTGAAGCTTTTGACAGGAGGATTTTGTCGAACTTGAGAAGACCGCTGGTTTGGTGTTTCTTGATGTTTTCGTGTGAATAAACTTGTGTTAAAACTCGGCCTAAGTGAGAAACACTGAATCGTGTTTGTTTCGTACGTGCCAAGGGTCAAATGTTCTCATTAAAAAAAATACGAGTGGTGACAGAGAAGCTGAATGTCATCAATAAATTCTTGCGTAGACATGGACGTTGACGGTCCAGTCAACGGTTCCGGCACCCTGAAGAGGTGCTCCAGTGCCCCTATGATTAATGAGAGCAATTCCATCATGACTACAGCAACCCCATCTGGATCAGCCGCCAGGTAAATTCTTCTGCTGTGATTTTGTGGTTGCCTTATTGTGGTCTTTTGCAGGGATCAGCAGTCTTTCAACCTGTTTGGGGGTAGTACGCAGACGAGAACGAGGAGGTTCAGTGCCAGCTTTAGTCCAGTGCCTGGATCTCCTGTAAGCACCTAAATAACTCCCTTTGAAGGTCTTAATTTTGATAAAGTGAGCCCAAATGGACAGTTTTTGAGGTTTTGGAGATGTCAATTTTTGATTTTTAACAGGCTTACGAACGAACATACATAACCTATAAAATGAAATAAGAAAACTTACTTTGCAGAAAGTGGTCAACATTTGTTTGCTGTCTTTTTCCAAAATACGAAAAATATTGAATTACTTTCTATGAGGATGGAAATAATCACTATTTCTATTTTCTTTATTTTTTTCACTTTGTTCTTGTTAAATATTTTGAAAAGTTTTGTTTTTTTGGAACTTAATTAGTTTAGAGTTTACTAAAACCTTCCTATTAGTGTTAAGATGTGGATTTGAACTGATTTACTGTTTTTTATTTTATTATTACTTAAAAAAGAAAGTGCGTTTCTCGAAATCTTTTAATGGAAAATCTAATTAATAATTACATTATTAATGCTCTTATAAACTATGTTGTATAATGAAACGCAGGAGATAATTATGCAAATTATACAACTCCTTATTGTTCTGCATGAAAAAGTTCTAATTTAAGGTAAAAATTCAAGACACAAAAGGAGGATGGTCAAGGTGATGGTGAATTATTGTTTCAAAGTAGTCATTGGATAAAATTTTCAATAAAACGATGTCATTATCTTACTAGACCTGTAAGTATAATCTGGTAAAATTAAATTTTTAGTAAGTTTTATATCTGGAAATTTGGAAAAAATATTTAGGGACTATACGGAAAGTTTGCTTCCTTTTATTATTTCTCATTCTTAAGACGCGAGAAGAAAGATTTTTTTTATGTTTAAAAAACAACAACGGAATTTATAAATGTTTATTGTAGACACTTATTTTCTAATTTTTTGTTTAAAATTTACGATGAAATAAGTTCTGGTGAAGATAGAAAAGGTAGCCTGTCAAATTATTGGAAAAAGACAAAATATACAAATTGGATTATAAAAAACGTCTCAAGCTATAACTTCATTCTTTTTAAAAATATGACAATACTTCTTTGATCAAATTGAATAGGTTATTATGTGAGCAATTTTTTTGGAGTAGATATTCAATCAATATTTATAGATGACAATAAACTGTGCAACTTTGTTTCAAGAAGTATTGTCTTTAAAAAAGTGTAGTTTTTCGCGGCTTGGTTAGTGATCGTTTTTCGACTGGAAATTTTCCAAACAGTAATTTGAACTTTATCTTGACACTGAAAAAAATTATCAAAAAAACTGTTTTTTGTAACGGCCACTTGTTATCTAGAAGCACACTAAATTTAACAAAATAAAAAGTTGTAATATTGAAAACAATGATTTAGTAGTTTTTATATCTGTACTTTTAAGTACATCAATCCATTTGCTGTTTTGTTTTTAAAAGCAAGTGTATTATAAAAAAAAATCAAATTCAGTCAAATTAATAGAGAACGCTTTTTTTATCCGACCTGCGTAACAAAGATTGCGTTAGCATAGGACAGTATTAATAAGTCTTACTCAATAAATCGTATTGACGTCAGCATGCAAATACGAGTCGTATAACACGCAGATTACTTCAGGATTTCGATTTTTAATCCTATTTGAAATAAGCATGTTCATGACAAAATTTTATCTAGAGTACCTATCTAGTACCTGAAAGTGTTATTGTAAATACATAGTTACTAAATTTGTTAAAAATCAGGATTGATTGGGGTTTTTTATTCTCTTTTATATCGATACAAACACTTTCTCGGTTAATATTATTTACATTATTATTTAATAAAGAACACTAATAATCTAGGTCCAAAAATGCAGAGAAAACCCATTTACAGTTACTATGTAATGATGAAATATTAACCTTGTGACAGATTAAAATTACAATACAATAAATTAATTTTCGTTTGTTGTTCCTCAGGTCTCGGGACTGCGCCTCACCCCTCGCATTAACCAACTCCGTCAAGAAGAGCATGCCGACGTGAGCAACCTTCGTGAGCTCGCCCACGAGCGCGAGATCCACCACACTATGCAAATCTCCCAATCGTGGGAAGACTTAAATCTGATGAACGAATCTCACGGCGACTCTAAATCGAACAAAATGGGTCCATTGCACGTCAACTTGCCGCCCTACAGTGGCCTCAATTGCAATTCACCCTCGCCGACACGTCTCAGCTCGCCCGGTTTCCAGAGCCCCACGCGAGCTTCACGAACGCTCATCCGGCGCAGCGCTAGCCCTGTCCTGCGGCCGAGCCCCCTCGGCGTCAAGAGGAAGCTCGACGACGATAAGAACGACTACTATGTGAGTTCCAGGGCGAAACGGTTCCACAGTTACTCGGCCGTGGACCGCGGAGGGTTACTCACCACCACGCCCAGCAGTTTGCCGGGCTCGCTGAGCTCAGTCGGCACTCCGGAGTCGTTGTCTAGCGCCGATTCGCCCGGATTTAATTTTAGGAATGTAGATAGTCCCTCGCCCAGTCGTGCAATGCCACCCGAACCGATGATCGTCGCCAAAGGCGATCATGACATGAACGAAAGTCCTAGTTAAATTGATATTTTAGATATGCAATGCGGTGGGTACTGATGAAATCAGGCAAAGTTATTGAAAAATATTTTTTATATAGATAAGAGGTAAAAATCGAAAGAAATTTATTTGTGGACTGACCTCCGCTGTTCGATAAACGAATTATTTAAAGACTAGTTGGGTTTGTTTTGACTAGTTTTCAAAAAAGGGCGCCAAACTACGGCCAATTAAAATTTTAATACGGAAAAACAAAGTTGGCATATTAATTTGACAGCTTTTACCATATACGAGAGGTGAATAGAAAGATAAAAGCGTTCAAATTTTTTAATTTGTCAATATTGTTATTTTTTATTTGCAGTTTTCATAGTTTCGCTAAGTTTAAAGCTTTGTAATTACAGTGGGGGACACGTAAAACTAGGCAGATGTGTCATTCAGTTGTCAAAATTTCTAAACTATACCTTAGGTACTCATAACCAAGCTTTTAATGTTTGGCATATTTGTCTTTTTGATACTGACAAAGTCGAAGTTTTTGGAATCCCCAAAGTCACCGAGACACCCCGCTTTGAATAAGAGTTGAGATTGTTTGAGGTTTATTGAAAACTGATTAAAAATTGATGTATGTCAAAGTTAATTTGATAGTTTTTTTAAAATATCAATCATAATGACTGTCAAGGTGCATTTACATTGACATTTTTTAAAATGACAATAAAAGACTACCCAGGATTCCGTGTCCCCAACTGTACTTCAAAAAATGTCATATGTCAATTGTCATTAACTGCTAAAAATCTTAAAAATCGTAAATTCTGTCAAATGTTCTTGGCCCAACCTTGTTATTTATTGTTTTACTTCAAAAATAGTGTTGAATCAGTCACAAAACAAGAGTAAGGTATTGAAACTAGGCAGTTTGCGAATGATGATAAAAAATAGACAAGTTTACAAACAGGGTAAACCAGCTTATTATTTTAAAGAACAGTTTCCTCCAAAAATGGCGCCCTTGTACCGTTTTAGTTGTAGTTGAAAAATGTGATGTTTTTCAATAACTCCCATTTTTTTTATATTCATCTCTAAGAATATGATGTTATTATAAAATTCTCTAGTCTATAGTTGTAATGTGAAATAAGTTAGTGTTTAAAAATGAACATTGCGAAGACTCTGCAAGGTGCTAAAATACTGACGTTTTCAGTAAATTTTGTTGTTTCTTCCTTCTGATATTTAAGATTCGTTTTTACAGATTTCACTAAAACTAAACTCAGTTCTTGACCCTACTCACTATTTCAACATTCTTGACAAACATTTGAAAACTAGTGGGTATGGAATGTTTTTTTCTTCCACTCTGTGTATGGAAAATGACTATTGTATATTTTCTAGTGGTAGTGCCTCACTGTTCTAATCATTTTTATACATAGTTAGGAAAAAATAGACTGACAATTTATAGCTTAGTTCTCGTTAAATTTAAGCCAACTTATTGGTATATCTGTGTAAATAGCCCTCTTGTTGGCCAATTAAATTGTTAATATATTATTCAAAGTGATTTCACAAATCATAAATATATCATATTACGACTGAGCACGTTTTTTAACTGCGCAAATCCAATTACCGGAAGCATTTTAATCGCAAGATACCCGAAATCTATTGACCCCCTCTTTTATGATTCTCGAAAATTGACGTTGAAACACTGAGTTTAAACTTCGCCGAATCTCCACCGGAGGCGTTGACGGCGTCTCAGCTGTCACAATTGTCAGTTGTGTCAGTGTTGTGGAGCAGAATGGCTTCGTCACGCAAAAAGCAAGATGAGAAGAATTTAAAAACGTTACGCGAACTGGGGGCGCAGCCCCAAAACAAGTACTGTTTTGACTGCAACCAACGCGGCCCCACGTACGTCAACATGACAATCGGCTCGTTTGTGTGCACCAAGTGCTCCGGAATGCTGTAAGTACCGTTGATTGACAATGGGCTGACAGGTGATCCTGCGGCGCCAGACGGGGCTATCTCGCGCCCTCTGACCGCGGCTTTTCTTCAAAAATTCGCATAATTGCTAATTAGATTAAACGAGGTTTGAACTTTTGGTGCTTCCTTAGGAATTGTTTATGCAAGTGCGAAATTTGTTTTCATTAGCGATCTGGAAGTGTGTAAATATAAATAGCACATGTTTCCCAATTAACAAACACTTCGTGCTTTATTTCAAAATTTTATTTACTGTTGGTTCTTTGTGGTGACCAAGGACAGAATCTGGAAAATCAAACAAATCAGGCTAGAAAAATGTCCATTTTTGTTCGACTTACCTCGTGAGTCATTTTGACGTCAGAAAATTTCTAACAAAGATCTCGATTTAACGAATAATCGATGCACGTGCATTTGCGATTTATTGTAAACCACTATATCAGATCCGTTTTGCCGCTTCCGGCGTGACCTAAATGCTAATTTGATTGTATTTGCCACAAGCAGGTGGAAAATAGCGAAGGTTTTAGTTAAATTTGTTAAAAGTAATGATTTTCTCAAAATCCTATTCAACTAGCAAATACAAAGCTCCCGCTGATAAGATTATTAATGCTTTATTTATTGTTGGATGATAATAAGTCGATTTCCAATTATGGCTTATTTTCGAAGTCCTGACAGAATTGTACAAATTAATAGGTAACAGAGAAAGTCGGATTCATTTCTGTTAATCCGGTAGCACATTAACACAAATTATTCTGAGTCATAAATTTATTATGATTCGATTAAAGTGTTTTCGGGAAAGTAGTGAAATATTTTCAATATTGTTTACGTTTTTGGTGAAGGAATCGAACTTTCTTTTCGCAAATAATTGCTACGGTTTTAAAAGGCGTAATAAGTGTATGTGGTTTTCCGGTAAGAAAACACATGGATTAACATAACATTACAAGCAAAATGTTCAAATAATAGGACGTGTGCAATGTTTTATAATTGAATGATATTATTATAAATCCAAATATTTTTTGTTTTACATATTTAACGTTTCGAAAATGATATTACATATAAAATATAATAACATTATTGTGTTTCTCTTGTATTTACATACATTTTAAATTTAAAATATAAAAATTTAATTTTTATTTAAAAGGATTTAATTTGGGGAAAGAGTTCTTGCCACTTTTGTAACCAGTTGATAAAATGCATTTCCAATTTCGATAAATAACATACGAATAAATTTATAATTAATTCTCTTCTCACAAGTTGTACAAATCGAGGTACATTTGACATTTACATTTTTTATTATACACACATACATATTCCTCTAATAAGTTTTATTTTGTTTTAGAAAATAAGATGTCAAAATCTTTCGGAGACTTTTGTAATTTGTGTAAAATTAATGTATAAAAATGTCTATTTTTTATTTCTTTTATCACAAATATCTAATCGATGCTTGATCCCAAAATAAATTATGTTTCATAGTTTATTTTCATTAAATTCTAGTTTAATAATAACGAGAAGACTAAATAAAATACTTGTAAGTTTCTTAGTTTGTTATTTTAAAAACAACTTAGATTTAGATTAGAAATTTTGATCCGCTTACAGGAAGCACCAACAATTTTTTTCACATTTTATCATCAATTAATTCATTAAAACACATTTTATGCTGGAGAGACTCAGAATTCGAAATTATGTAAAAACTAACTACTTAAATAAAGGAAAGTACAAATTGTTGTTATTAAAAATCGAGAATGCTTACACATACAGTTAAGCATAATTTCTAATAAAACCAATTATTTTGTTTATTATTTATTTCCAAAACAAAATTGCGATGTTTTTGAAGACTTAATCAATCATCACGAATTCGCAGAAAGAATATAGAGTGTCACCATAAAATAACAGCCGCAGGCGTTTTCATATCACTTTGAATTCGTAGAAGATTGAACCGTCTAAAAATATAACCGGACTTCTATTTTTCACCACTGCAAAACAAAGAATTCCGTATTGTTTCCTTGATTAAAAAAATTAAAATCAGCATTTTTATTCTTTGTTTACGAGTAAATCGTCCATTTAAATACACCACAGGCTACGTACAACTTGTACTGGCACACGTGTGAATTAATAATGAATCAACAATCAATTTGTTATTTTTGAACAAGACTCCGGTGTTGTGCATTATTATATTAATGTTGTAAATAAAAGTTCATTGTATTGTATAAAATTTCTCAAGAAAATTTTTTGTCACTTCATTCAGGTGTGGGACGTTCCGTTCGGGCGGCCCTCTACAATGATTCACAATCACAATAAGCACAACAAAGAGACAAATCAGGCCAAAGTTGGCCTGTTTGTTTATTAGATTCAACTCTCCTTGTAACTCGCTTGATCACCGCGTTACATTTTTAAATTGTCACTTACAAGTTTTATTGTCGCGTGTTGAAGCCTGATATGAGGGAAAAGAATGTATGTACAATTCCCCTAGCGGATGTTATACCTGTTCGGTAAGAATGGCCCTTCGTGCAGGTTGTATCAAATATTGACTGAGGGGACCCACGATACGAAAAGTGCAACGAACTGCAACGGGAACGGTTGAATTGTCTGTCTCTTTGACGTGAGTCACCTTAGGTCGTACAATTTACAAAGGTTTTTTATCGATTTGGATGTGTTACACGTGGGTCTTTAGCATGAGGGGAGAGTTTAAAGAAAGAGATGCTTTTATTTGAAAGAGACTAGATTTTATATCAGTGATAAACGCCCCGTTTGGGTTTCTAAGTAAAGCAAGTGATACATACAAACTGAACACTTAACACTCCATAAATCACTGAGAGAAAATTTCTTAAACTTGTAGTTTTCAGCAATCTCTTATTCTATCACCTTGAAGAAATTGAAAAAACAAGGCGAGTAAAGTAAAACATTTGACTCGCCCCGACGTTACCATAACTTTCCACAAAACAATCCAGAATGGAAACGTTTCGCATTGTCTTTCATATCTTCGAGATGAAGGCCATTGCGATACGGCTGAATTTTCTTATTAATAATATTGACTCATAAATTGTAATAACGTCTGAATATAAATTATGGGAGCCGTTTGTATTGCCTTGAAACTCAAATCGATATGTTCCAAATTCACCTAAATTATTTCCGTCTGGGTTTTGCGGTTATAAGTATAAAAAATCATCACGCGACTAGATTCAACGTTTGAATTGCAATTATCGTCCGATTAACATAATTAATTAAGACTTAAGAAGAACGAGGAAGTAATAATAAACAGGGAATTGGATAATGAAGCTATACTTGTGTGGTGCGTTTCTAAAAAAAAAATTTGTTTACATTTCCGATTTTTACATTATTTTGATGTAGGAAGAAAGTGATCGCAGTTGGCTGTGTAAATAAATATGGCATTTTATGTAAACTTGAGAAAAAAACACTTTTTCACAGTACACTCAAAATAATTAATTTTCTATTGATCTCTATTAGTTGTTTTCCTAAAAGCCGTATTAAAAAGGTCATATGTGATATAATCTAATCATATTTAGTGGTTGATGTAATGAATTTTTGATTCGCTAGAGACTGTCATGGCGCAATAAAAACTATCGTAGAGTGACAATAAAGAAATAGGTTTTTAGGGTAGATACATATTGGGTATATATTTTTAAATGTATGCCAATAACAGAAGGTTTCTTGATGAGATTTCGACAAACTGGGTAGTTTTAGCAGTTTTACGACTCACAACCACAAAGTATGTAAATAAATCCTGTATCTTAAAAGATGTTATTATTTATTTATATTTATTTTATACCATAACTGTCAATTTTGAAACGAAAATGGCGAAACTGCTAAAAATGTATACAGGGACATTCTTTTTCATCATCACTAATAAATTTTTACAATCATATGACCTAAAACTGGGACTGAATGAGCGGCGATTTGCTATTTTCTGAGTCACGTGACTTCAACTTCAATTCAATGCGCGCGACTTCTTAATTAACTTCACCTTCAATTATTATATTGTTTAAATACTCATTTATGTTAATGAATTTTTCGAAAAGTACTTGAGAAAAACTGAAAAAAATTTATTAATTTTTTTTCGGATTGCCAGCCCACTTTTTTAATTCCGCTATGACAAATAAGGCCCGGCTACTTGACTTTTAATTAATGTTAAACGTGCTTGTGGTAGCTTAACCGATCGAAGTAAAATAAGGAGCATATAATCAATCTTCACTTCTTAATGAGTTTTGGGTTAATTCAAGCCCCAAAACAACCTCTGAATTTTAAAAGTCGCTTTGCATAATTTTAGAGGCATTGAAGGTCCTGACAACTTATCCCACTATTAAGCCGTAATATAATTGTGTGTACATTGTTATTTTTGTCCTCAAATAAGATAAAAGTATTTTCTTGAACACTCTCTGATTAGTTTTTCGATTGATTGGTTACCCACGCAGATGATGACGTTGGTGCTATAATTGTAAGGGATGAAAGTCCTCGTTACAAACCCGAGTTGAGAAGATATAAAATTGTTAGGAGTATTTTATCTCAAATGTGCTGAGCCATCTGGA